TATCACGCAGGGCCTTCGACAACGTTGGAGAACGCCTGGCTGCACAAGTGCACCATCGCGGTGAGTACGCTACACGGTGGGATGCACTTCCGGTTGCCCCAGTGTCGCCTCAACGTGGTGCTTTGCGCAGCGCTCCTGGCGTCAGCACCTAGTCCTAGTGGCCTACCAGAAGACCAACAAGGGCATCACCGTGTCCTCTCGCCCGCCTCTTCGACGGCACCTTGCCCAGTGCCGCGTAGTACTGCGACGGCAAGCACTACTGGGCCTGGCTGTTCTGGGGCACCCACGACGAGATCGCTCTCATCAACAACTACATCAGCACCGCTAAGAGTGTACCCCCCACGCCGGCGGCAAGTCCCAGGTGAGGACGGATCGGGGAGCGCAACGGAGCGCCTGTGGAGAGCGGGGTAGGCCACCGCGCAACGCACCACTGCGTCGTGTGGACACCTACCCCGCCGGCCGCAGGCGCCGTCTTAAGCTAAGCTCGAACAACCTCACCAACCGGCTCTGTGTTCAGAACTACGTCCACCTTGTCGGCAACGCCATGGACAACAACAGCCACGGAGAAATCGAGCCCAGGAACGGCTCTTACTTACATTCTCAGCGAGCAAGGTATGGGCTGCCGCCTTCACCAACGACCAACGTAAGCAAAACTTTATACAATTTCAGTACCTAAATAATTTTTCACTTTTTGTTGTTACAGCCCATCAACGCAAACAAGTTTTTTTGTTTATTGTTGTTGTTGCTGCTGTTGTGGAATTTTGCTGGGAATTTTTGCGAATAATAATCTTGTGTTTTACCCCGTGGGGCCACCGGACCGCGAGGTGCTCGCCACGTATCTCAGCGAGCACATGAACCTGGCGCAGGAAAAGCTGGAGGGCAGGGTGACCATGGCGGGCGGGCGCACCGCTTCTCGGGCATCAGCAACAGCGTCAAGCACTAGCTCTGCCTCCCTCGTGCGACACGAGAACGCCTAGCTGAAAATGATATGCCAAAGAAACTGTGTGTCCGTTTATGTTGATGGGTAGTTTCAGCAAGTACGTCACGCCGTCGCGTGTCCAGTTAAAACCGCTGAGTTTTTTTGTTGTTTTTTTTTTGGGGGGGG